GTCCAGCAACCTCTGTAACTTCGATATCCCTCTCTCTTTCGGTAATCATTCTGAGAACTTAGAATTGCATTACTTAGGTCTCTTATCAATTTTGCAATAACTCAAATTTATTTTCAATTACCTTTAGTTTTCTCTTTCTATTTTTTCTGTTGAATTCGAATTGAAGTGTTTAGGATCAATAGCTGAAGGATATTTGTCAGAAGAGTGCTCAAATTTTTGTTCAAGGTATCTTGAGGGTGTTGAGACTAGGTTGAATAAGCCAAGGAGAAATCCAGAATTTTCGAACCTTGAAGCGGCTAAATATCTTTTTGATAGTGCTGGAAAAACAGTAGGTAAAGTTGATGCATTTGAGTTAGATGATATAACATGGCAACAAGCCCACCGTTATGTCTTGGATCATCATGAATCTATTGAGCCATTTCGCAAGTAAGTTAAAGAAATTTTAAATTTGGATATTTCAATTATTATCATAAAATTGTTTTAATTAATACTATGCCATTTTTTTTTTTTTTGCCAATCTCAGTGAATATTTGAGAGAAATAAAAAGAAGGCGTAGACCAGTAAACTCAAAGTCCATGAGCAAAATAGGTTGCTGCATGAACAGTTTCATAAATGGTTTAATACTTATGTAAGTAATTAACTTATCTATAAAAGAAATCCAGTACTTTCAAATCTTTTTCTAAAGTCAGTTTATGGTATTAGAGTTAACTTTATTCTATTTACCATTTATTCTATAAATGGTTTAATACTTATGTAAGTAATGCTCTATTATTTGCTTGTATAGAAAAAGGCCAAAGAAATGCACACAGAGAGGTTAGCAACTAGCTCATTAGATGCAATATCCCTACAACAGGCAGTTAGGTCTGAAGTGAGGGGTAAGGAGGCTTATGGTCGTGTTCGTGGCTTGGGTTTAGGGCCTACACCAACAAAGGTCTTTGGTGCTCATACATTTGCCTCTACAGCTGCTCAAAATCAGGAAGTTATTGAGTTGAAGGGTCAGGTGATGTCATTGAACTTAGAGAACAAGTGGCTTCTCTAGCTGCTCTAGTTAGGCAGTTGACTGCAAATATGAACCCTTAAACTTACCAGGTTGGTTCTTACCATTCCTATGATTTATCTGTTAACACTTGTTTGGTGCTTGTTTAGTGTTTAATGGAAAAGAATATAGTTTTTGTAAATTCTGACTCTGGTGGTCTTTATCTGCTATTGTCTTTTAATTTTCATTGCACAATAAAATAAATTTTGATTAGTATAAGCTTCTAAATTTTGGTGGGTGAAGATTCTATTTCTACGTTGTTTTGCTTTTTGGTTTGATTATAATAGTAGTTTAGTCATTGTCTAAATTGCTAGCTCATCAATTATGTTTCCACTAGTAATCATCAATTATGTTTCCACTAGTAATCCAGATCCTTGTATAACTGAAGAAGTCAGTACCGAATTCTTAAATTGTGATAGGCGTTGTTTTATGGGTTCAGTTGCAATTCTGAACACATTGAGAAAGACATGGCAAAGAAATAGCAAGAGATGGTACACCTTGAATCCCTTATTAGATTTCTGGGATAGGAATTTGATGCCAAAATGTTACAGTAGTTTCAAAATTGTTTCCTGTTTGCGCCCTGTAGTGTTACATGAGTTTCAAAGTTGTGCTTTGTCAAACTAATCCTGCTTGTGCCAAAATGTATCTTGTTTGCATTTTAGGGTCAACAAGGAGTGCCAACCTTTCCAGATGCATCATAAAGTAATGATGCTACTGGTGGCAGCAATGTAAAGCATTTGTATATGAAAATTTCAAGACTGCAGTGACTTTAAGTGTTAGTAGCAAAAATGTCATTTTTTAGTTATTTTGTGTTTGAATATGGCAACTCAAGCTTTTAGATACTCTTAGACATGGTTGTATGCTATTTGGATATCATTTTCTATCATTTTTTGGGGATAGCATTGGTGTATTCTGTTTTTAAGTGGTGTATTCTGTTTTTAGCACTTAAACATTTGGATATTATTGTTATATTTTCTCTAGATATGAAAAAATTAAGCATTCAATGATATGTCAATTTTGTGTAGATTTTGATTAATTGATGTTATATTTAGTTTGATTAATTGTGTTTGATCTTAAATGGTTTTGTCAACAAATAAGTAGTGTTTTGGTGACAAAA